CTATTTTTTGGTTGCAGCCGTCATTGTTGTTTGGCAGGTCGGGCTGGGGATTCGAACCCGCCACCTTAGGTGTACGTGGCTGGCGCCTTAGCCGGTTGAACTATAGGCGCCGAGCCCGAAAGGCTTTAAAAATGATCAGACTGGCGGTGCCCATAGCTTAGTGGGTAGGGCGCATGCCACATACACCCAGGCTGGCGGGTTTTAATTCGGCCTGGGCCTGCAACAAAAAATATAGCTGGGTGTTGTGGTGGTAGCTGGGACATTGAGGCAAGAGAATCACTTAAGCCCAAGAGTTTGAAGTTGCTGTGAGCTGTGACACCTCAGCACTCTACCAAGGGTGATATACTAAGACTCTGTCGCCAAAAAAAAAAAAAGCAGGTAAGAATAACTTTTTAGTTACCTGTTTATAGTTTACTATACTATACTGTGGGTAAGCAGGGCCTGCATGGAGACTAATGGTAGTCTCCCCCACATACCCACAGAGGCTGTGCTGATCCCTTTTCCTTTCACTATCACTGATGAGACGCTCAGGGGAATTTCTAAAAGATCCTGCCAGCCCATCCATATCAACAAAACATCACCTGAAAAAACTCCAGGGGTAGTTATAATCTTAAATTTACCTGCACTTTCCATAATTCTTGACAGAAGACAGCACGGGAAAACATACTGTGTGCCAATAAATGCTTAGCAACCTCTAACAAGGAAGACAGTTTCTTCTGGAAAAAGAGATTAAATCTTTTAAAAAACAGGCAGATTACCTGAAATGATTTTAAGAAATATCCTATTTTCCCAATCAGCTTAAATGTAATAATCTGCATTCCTCATTTCACTGTGGTCTTACCTGCTGCTCCGAGGTTAGCAGTACAGAGGGCCTGGGCTCAGCCGCAGCTGCACAGACCTGCTCCAAGCTGGAGGCAGCCACCCTAGCTGCCAGGACTCCCACTGGAAACCCCAGCCTTGAGGCTTGATCCTGCAGAACAGAGCCTTACAAACAAAACAAAACCATAGCTTTCTCTACTTTTCTTTTTTTAAAGAGACAGGGTCTCGCTATGTTGCCTAGGCTGGAGTGCAGTTGCAATTCCTGGGAGATCACCATATTGATGTCGAACTTAGTGCCGACACCCAATCTGCATAGCACACTACAGCTCAGAACTCCTGGACTCAAGCGATCCTCCTGTCTCAGCCTCCCAAGTAGCTGGGAATACAGGTGCACGCCACCGTGTCCGGGCATAGCTTTCTCTTAAAACAAAATTAAAGGCTCGGCGTCTGTGGCTAAGGTGGCTAAGGCGCCAGCCAAATACACCTAAGGTGGCGGGTTTGAATCCAGCCCAGGCCCGCCAAACA